TTTGCGTCATCTTTGACAGGGACAATTAATTGGTCTTCGGGAGTGTCGACGGGTTGCAGGTTAGTAAGAATGCCAGCATTTTCATCTGTTAGAGCGCCAGTAAAGATCCGAACGTCATCGATGTCCATGACTAGCATTTCCTTGGGGCCTCCGATGGAGAAGAGAGGCAAGGGCATTGAACCGATAACTTATGCCTCAGTTAATGCCTCAAACTCCGTCTTGCTCTTATAAACTTGACTTGTATCACGATTCCATTGCTTAGCAGCCGTAAGTGCAATGGCATCAAATCCACACTTCAACATAACGTCATCTTGGAAAGCCGAGCCCCCTATCTACCCAATGCAGGAAAGCCGTTTGGGCAAAGTACTCGTCCATTCCACTAATTGATTCAGCCAATCGGTTAGGTAGTCTCCTACAGTGCCGAACTTGTCGGGGTGATCAGTTACCATCTGCAGGAAGGGCGAGTACATTTGCATTATTGACTCAGGTACTTCGTCTCCACCGAGATGGATGTACTTGGGTTGCTTGAACCAAGGCACCACAGTGGAAATAAGGTCGTGCACAATGTCGAGTGTACTGTTGTTGGTGACATCGGTAACGAAAACGGTTATCGACTCATAACCAGGAAGTAAGACTCCCACATCGAAGTAAAGATTCATAGCCGCCGAATGTCCCGGAAACTCGAAGCCGGGCATTACTTCCACGCCGTATTTTCGACCATAATCCACCAAGTCACCGATCACTGTCTCGTTGTATCCGTGTCCGGCAGGCGCCAGACCCGGATACTTGCCTATATCATAACGGAAGGCTTCGCTGTCCACTGCATGTAATAATAATCCGTTCATCTTCAGGTTGCTACCTCGTCTGATAACGGCTTTCAAAAAGTCGGGTTCGAAGTAGTGCCGGGCACAATCAACACCGAACCAGCGTCGTTCGTCGTTCGGTTCGTCGAATATGTAACCACTCGTAGGCCATTGGTAGTTGACCTGTTTGGCGAGCTGCAGCAGCGTCTTCGTGCCCCATAGGACACCCGTCGAGGCGCGCGCCATAACCGTTACCCGTCCGTTTTCGAACACAATTTTGTACGCCTCGTTCGGAAACTGCGCCTTCTCTATGTCTACGTCCTCCTGCGTTAAAGTTAACAAGAACGCCGCCGTCCCAGTTGTCGCTGACGTCGCTGCCAACGTGTAGCCCTCCACGTCCGCCACAAACTGTGAAGCCACCGCCTCCAACGACTGGTCCGTAAACGCGATCGTGCTCGCCGCCGACATCTCGAACACCTCCGATCCCACACTCTCCACCTTCACCCCGGCACCGTCACCCAGGCGCCACTCAACACCGCCCAGGCGGCTGCAACCACCAACCCAAGTCTTGGCATCTAAATCTAAATCTTCTGAACAAAAATGAACCAGCAAAACACCTATTTGAAAGCCGTCTACCCGAACAAAGCCGTCTACCCGAACAAAGCCGTCTACCCGATCGATAATGGACTGTGACCTAGAGGCGTAGTTGGGCTTCTGTGTGGGGGGGATTGAGTAAGGTTAGGTTTATAGAGCGTCAAAGTGATCAGACGGCAGTCACGAGCGAACTTCAGCCACGGTCAGGCGACCCTCGTCCCCATACATATGAGCCCCTTCAACATGTATCCTCGTTAAATAGGGCAAAAAAATGGTTAAAAAAATATTCTGGAAATTAACCCCGCAAGGAACGGATCGCTTCACCAACAAATTCGGGCTCGCTTAAACTACCATTCCTTGCGCGTAGTTCGTCTTCCAGTGTGGTGCCATGAGTGGGCTAATAATGCCAAAAGTGGCTAGTAGTCGAATCACGTCACGACCTTCATGGGATTGAAGGTCAGGACGAGTCCATCATTGAACCGTCATCGACGGTGGTTCTATTCGAGTTCTCCACAGTTCCCATGCGCCCGATCGGCTCTCTAGAGCGCTCTCTAGAGCGCAGCCACGAGGACAGGTAGGAGGATTGCGGCGGCTACGGAGCCGACTGCAATGGTTCCAGCGACGCCAGATGCCTTCTCCTCAGGGTACTGGAAGTAGTCATCGGGATTGTCGTCTACGTTCATTCCGGCCAGAACGTCGGCGTTGACCTCGTTTGCGAAGCCGCGGAAGACACGGAAGTCGTCGATGGCGAGTACGATCATCTCCTTGGGGCCGCCGATAGAGAAGAAAGGTAGGTCGATGGAGCCCTTCACCTTTTGTTTTAGTTCACCTCCGACGTACGCGTAGGTGAAGATGCCGTCCGTGCTGATGGTCACGTGGGTCCAGTCTACCGGAATGCTGATACCGATGTCGATTGCGGGTTTGCCAGTCTGCTGGATGGCCATGTGGCCGAGTTCATTGGAAAGTATGATACGGTTTTCCGGCGAGTACAGGAAGGCGACGTCGTCCACCCGCTTGTCTCTGCGCATCCAAGCACTAATGGTCCAGGGCGCGGGCATATCCATGCCACCGAAGCTGAACGGGTTCGAAGTAGCCAGTTGGTAAGCGAATTGCAGTCCCTTACCGTGCATTCCCTCAATGAAATCCGGGTTCGGCTTGCCGACGGTGAACAGACTACCCAGACCCGCGCCATGGCGCTGGCCTACGTAGTCTTGTGCGAAGACACACATATACCCATCGCACATGCTCGGCATCTCGACACTCTGTTCTTTTTCGAACCGATAAAAGGCCACCTGCTCCAACTTCTCCGCAGGCTCCAGAATGGGTAACTTGGGGTCCAAAGCCTCGACCAACGTCTTGAAAGCTAGCGGATCCTTCTTAATCAACGTGCTAACGTCACGGTTCCACTGCTTCGCCGCTGTCAACGCCAATGCGTCATAACCATAAGACAGCATCGAGTCGTCTTGCCAGTAGTTGTTGTCGCCCCACTCCAGGAACGAAGACCCAAAGTACGTGTTCACAGTCGGAGCCTCGTCGTCCAACACTCGGGGTTTCACGGTGGTGCTCGCTTCAGTCGACTTGGTGGAAAACGTACTCGAAGACGTGTCCGGGAGCGTAGTCGAAGACGTGCTAACGGTGGTGGACTCAGTGGTGGTGGTGGTGGTCGTCGTCGTAGGTTTGGGAGTGGTGGTGGTGTCCGGCGTCTCATTGGTCCATCCTTCTAGGTCGTAGTCTTTGAGTTCGAGTAGGTCAGGGAATACGTTGAGGTTCGTGCTGGTGACGAGGTAGAGATAGTCTTCATCGGATACAAGGATATCATAACCTGGGTGGTTCTTGAAATAGTCGAAGTTGCCTTCCCAGTAGTTGATGACTGCGTTGTGCGGCATCTCAACTTTCTTAATTCCGTTTTCGAATCCATTGTAGATTATGGGTCTCGACTTAGGGAACGTGGCAACGAACCAGTCCACTATGCCGGTGAGCCAGGTGGTGAGGTAGTCGTCGATGGTGGTGTAGAGATCGGGATGGTCAGCCACCATTTTTTTGAAGGGTTCGTAGCCGCCGGAGATCATGGAGCTAACTTCATCACCTCCGAGGTGCACATATTTGGGATCCTTGAACCAGGGGACGACGGTTGAGACGAGGTCCTTGACCAACCCGTCAACCTTCGGGTTGGTTACATCGGTCACCATCGCGGCCAGAGAGGCGGTCATGCCATCCCCGTCTAGAACGACGCCAGTACCGAAATATTCGTTCATGGCGGTTGAGTGTCCAGGGAACTCGAAGCCGGGCATTACTTCAACACCGTGCAGTCGGCCATAGTCGACCAAGTCACCAATGACCGTCTCGTTGTAGGAGCGACCTGCAGGTGCCAGTCCAGGGTACTTGGGGATGTCATATCGGAAGGCTTCGTTATCCACGGCATGCATCTGCAAACCATTCATTTTCAGGTTACTTACTCGCTTTATGACGCTCTTCAGGAACTCCGGCTCCCAGTAGTGGCGAGCACAATCCAATCCCAGCCAGCGTCTCTCGTCATTAGGTTCGTCGAAAATAAAGCCACTTGCCGGCCACTCATAATTGACCTGCTTTGCGATTTGCAGCAAGGTACGCGTACCCCACAACGCCCCCGTAGGAGTCTTCGCTGTGACCTTGACCTTACCTTCGCTAAACGTAATCTTGTATGCTTCGTTCGGGAACTTCGCCCCATTAATGTCAGTGTCTTTGTCACTCAACTCCAGTAAAAATTCTCCGTCCGTGCCTTGCACAGTACTCATCGTGTAGTCCTTCATGTCAGCGGCAAAAACCTCCGCCACATTCTTCAGACCTTCGTCCGAGTAAGCCAACTTCAAGTCCCGATTCCACATCGCTGTGTCTGTTCCCGCACTGTTCGTCTTCACAGCCGGAATCGTCACAAATGCTTCGCTGAGAACTGAAGCGAGCGTACACGCCGCTAAGTATTTCGTACTCACCATCTTAAGTCTCACCCCAAGACAAAGTCTTTATAAAAATTCTCACCACAAACACTCCCCTTTTTTTCCCATACTCGTTTTGTCCCATCCGCCCACCAACACGAACTTATATAATTCCGCCGCAACGCTCCCACACAACCCTTCCCAGCCCCCGCCCCCAGTCCTGTTGGTCCCAGCAAGACTGACTCGCAGAAAGACTGACTCACAGAAAGACTGACTCGCAGCGAGACTATTTTTGCGGCTGTGCCCACTTGACGTTGTTTGAGTACAAAGATCCGAGATCCGGGGGGGGGGGGGGGGGCGCTATCTTATCTAAGGTTCGACAGAAACCTAACGTTCGTGCATCGTCCAGACAGAAACCTATCTAACCCCGAAAACCGAATCAAGCAAATTCCGACAAGCAAGCACGAACAAAAAGGCTGGTCCAAGAAGCACAGGCTCCTCAGTTCTGGGTTCCGCAGACATAGTCCTAGGCTGACTAGTGGCTGCCAGGGGTTGCATTTTGTGACTGGTGACGCTCAGCGCGGGCTCGGTCTTGTCTATCCAACTCAGCAATTCTGTCCTTCACGGACTGGGTCCCCT